TCCTATTGTTTTACACTGCTCATACCTACGCAACTGAAACAAACAGAAATTCTGTAATCAATACAATGTTCAATAGTAAATTTGTAAAGCATCTCAGTAAGTTTTGTTGGTAAAAATTTGCTCATTTTTACCTAATAATATAACCTTGTATCCCACCAAATTATTTTATACTATAAGTACGTGTTTTTTCCAAGTTAAATGGTCATCAATTTGTACTCCTAAGTATCTTATGCAATTTACCTGTCCAACTTTGTAAAATTGACATGGATATTAGGAGCAGGTTGGATGATTCATCTTATTTCTTATATATTTATGATCTATATATAAATCTAAAAATCGTTTTAAAAGTAACGGTAAACACCATAAATCAACCTTTGCCACCAAAAGTTTAACGTTGTTTCAACGTTAACTTGATACAATGGCAAGTTGTGCTGATCTGCACTGCTGGCTGCCTCTCATCAAACCTAAATTATATTCAAATGTAAATTAAAGTTTTAATATTATTTATTTGAATCGTAACTCTCTACCATACCTTTAAATTCAACATTAGAATTTTTCATTTATACTTTTTAAAATGAAATCTTATGATTTTTAGGGATATTCATCACATTATATAACCCTTAAAAGAGGTCTATTCCCAGATTATCCTCACATTAATATCCTTAAACGAGGCCTATTCCCAGATGATATACAGATTATGTCTAAGATGTATTCATGATATATCACGCATACCCTAATTAATTATAATGTATTTGTTATACTTATAATTGTTATTGTTTATTTTTTACTAAATTTATTACTCTGTTCATGGGGAATTATTTTGAGCTCTGTTTCATTTATGGACAACTGTGTTTTTTATTCTTGAGTATTAATTTTAACTTCAAAATGAATAAATAAAATTTAAGAAATATAAAACGTACATAGTAATTACTTTTATATATATTATAACTCTTAATCATTCACTCTAAAACCAAAAAAATAAAAATAGAAATAAATTAGATTTAAATCAATATAATTTCATTTATATGTAATAAAATAATTTTATTATTTTTTACAAACATATGCTTTGTATGAGCTTGTAGCTAAAGTATAATCAAAATATACCCAGTCAAATGTTCGGTAAGGAAAGAAAACTCGTTCATAAAACATCTCAAACAAAACAGTAAGCAAACATTAGACCGCAGAGACAGAGTCTTATCACACACAATTTCTGCCTTTACAGCTTCCCTTAGTTATATTATTAATTATTAAATTTTAATAGAAATATATTTAACAGTTATATATATCAGATACACCAGCAAATTTTTAAAGCCATTTCAGTTTCTTTTTTTTTAAACAAAAACATATATATCTGTGTATACATTACTAAAAGATTGGTTTTTTAGTGACTGAGTGATACTGTAATATATGCCTATAATATTAGTAACAACCGAATTAAATTTTGTGAGTATATAACAAATTAATAAGAATTATTCAAAAATAATAGTTATAAAATATATAGCACGTTACTAAAATAATTTTAATATTTTTTAGTGACTGGGTGATAATATATAATTTATGCCTACTGTATGGTTATATTAAGTTTTGCGAGGATATAAAAAAGTAATAAGAATTATTCAAAAATTCTACTTTTTAATGTTTAAGTACATGTATTTACAATATCACTAATGTAAAGTATTTTTATTATATATTTCATTTTTAATTTAATAGTGTTATAGTTGTTCATTTTAGTTCATATTTAGTTATTCTTATGTGTTTTATGTGTATTGTAAATTATTTAATGAAATATGTAGCGAATTTTGGTATTGCTTTATATTATATAATAATAATTAAGTCTTAAAATAAACAGTAATTGATTGCAATATGTTTTCTTGTTTCATTATTTCAGGTTTATTGCCTATGTAAGTTTTCATTGAATCCAACCTCATGAAATTCCTACAGACATTTGGATAGAAGTTTCAATAGGAATGATGTACTGTACTCTGTTCTAATAAGAATTAATATTAAATGTATTTAAATATACCTTTACAATAGAAAATCCTATTGGATCTGTACCAATTTCTAATAAGATTATTTAGAATTTCTGATAGCTTCCAAATTCAATATAAATTCTTATTGGATCTTTTATATTATGCCATTTATAATACAGTCCTTTAGAGTTCCCTATAGTAATTCAAATAAGAATTACAATAGAACAATCTATAGAATCCAATAGAATTTTCCACTAGAAATATCTAAAATTCTAATAAGAATTTTTAGAAACTAGCATAAAATGTCATATAGGATCCAATAATATATTGGGCCAATTTCCGATAAAATCTTATATAATTTTCAATAGCAAATCAAATAAGAATTACATTAGAATTATGTATAGGATCTAATAGTAATTCTTAATAAAAAATATATTTTAAATTCTTATACGATCTAATAAAAATTGTAATAAGAATTCTTATAGGATCTAATAGCAATTCCAGATAGACATATATTTTAAAACGATTAAATGATCTATTAAATAATGTAATAAGAATTCTTATTGTATCTTATAGTAATTCCTAACAGAAATATATTTGAAAATCCTATACGATCTAATAAATACTGTAATAAGAATTCTTATTGGATCTTGTGGCAATTCCTAATAAAAATATATTAAAAATTCCTATATGGTCTAATTAATATTGTAATAAGAATTCTTATTGGATCTTATAGCAATTCCTAACAGAAATATATTCAAATTTCCTATATGATCTAATAAATATTGTAATAAAAATTCTTATTGGATCTTTAAAATTTCTAATAAAAAGTATATAGGGCCAATTTCCAACAGAGTATCATAGAATTTCCTATATCAATTGAAATAAGAATTACCTTGAGCACTTTAGTGGAGATGTGCGCTTAATAAATCTTATTATTATTATTATTAATATGAATCCTATACATTTTTCTAATATGAATTTCAATTGGATATTTTCGTAAGGGTATCTGGGTGATTCCTTTTATTTCTTATATATTTATGATTTATCTATAAATCTATATATAATTACTTATATAATTTTATGATTTATATATAAATTTATGTATAATTTGTTATATATTTATGATTTATATATAAATATGTAATTAC